GTGTGTATGTGTGTGTTGGGGTTGGGGGGCAGAGGAAAAGGGAGAGAATGAATATTAAGTAGGCTTCATGCCCAGTGTGGAGCTCAATGTGGGGCTCAATCTCAGAACTCTGAGATCATGACCTGAGCCAAAATCAAGAGTCAGATGCTTAACTGAATGAGCCACTTGGGCATCCTGTTTTCTTTGTTTTCCATTTCTGCATTCTTTTTCCTGCCTTTCTGTGGGTTACTTGAACATTTTTTAGAATTCCATTTTGACCTACCTATAGTATTTTTAAAATGTTTCTTAATATAGCTTATGTCACATAACTTACCACAATCTTCTGGTGTTCTTAGTTTACCAATTTGAGTATAGAAACTTTACTCCCTTTATGTCCTTTTAACCTCCTCCATTTATAATAAATTGTCTTAAATATTTCTTCTACATACATTTAGAACCACTACATATAATTTTTGCTTTAACCGTCAAGCACAATTTGGAAGATTCAAGAAGAAAAAGCAAGTCTATTGTATTACTTATATTTTTGCTTACTGTGTTCTTTTCTTCATTCTAATGTTTTAAAATTCTTTTATTGTTTCCTTTTTGTTTAGAGAACTTCTTTTAGCTATTCTTTTTAGGCTAGATCTTCTGGCAACAAATTCTCTTACTCTTCCATTATCTGAGATTGTCTTGATTTCTTCAGATTTAATTGCTATGTGTTCTTGGAAAATTGACCCTTTGCAAATTTCCAAGTAGATTTTTTCCCCAAATTTCAGAAGTCTTCAGCCATTGTTTTGATCACTTTTTCCACCTCACCCTCTTTCTCCTCCCTAGGACTCTAATAACATCTGTGTAAAATCATTTTGTTAAAGTCTCACAGATCCCTTAGTCTCTGTTCATTTTTGTTTTCAGTCTGTTTACTCTTTGTTGTTCAGATTGGGTAATTTCTATTTTATCTTCTAGTTCATAGGTTCTTTCCTTTTCTTCTTCCATTCTGCTGCTGAGCTTTTTATTTTCATTATACTTTTCAGTTCTAAAATTTCCTTTTGGTTCTTCTTTTTACATGTTCTATGCCTTAGCTGAGACTTTTTTCTTTTTAATTTAGTTGAAGTGTGTTCACAATTGCTTGTAGAAACATTTACTTTAAAATCTTTGTCAGATAATGTGAAATTTCTGGCATCTCAGTGTTTGTATCAATTGCCTTTTCTTCATGGAATCTGAGGTCTTTCTAGTATTTGTCATCCCCAGTTATTTCTGATTGAATTCTGGACATCTTGGGTGTTATGAGATTCTGGATCTTAATTATATCTCTGTTAGCTATCTCTTTCTGACACCATTCTGACAGAGGAATGGGAGGCATTGCCATGTTGCTGCAGGTAGAGTCTAAAATTCAGGTTTCCCACTCATATGCCATTGACAACTTAGGTGGAGGCTTCTCATTACTGCTGGGTAGGAGTGGGAATTCTGGCTTCCCAGAAGGCCTCCAGAGATACTTTCCTGGCTGGGAGAGGTAGAAGTGCCTTGCTGTTCCCCACATGGCTTCCAGTGACACCATGGGGATGATGTGGTCTCTTGATTTCTGGGTGGTATGAAAGTCCTCCCGTCCACTAGGCCTCCTATGCCAGCACTCCAGTGGGGAGAGTGAGGAGGAGGGTGCTATTTTACTCTTAAGTAGGGGGTGGAAATTAGGTTCTCTAGTGGTCTCTACTGACACTGTAGGTAGGGGCCAGGGCTCATTACTGCCTGGAGAGGATGAAAGTCCTGATTCCCTACTGGGCCGTCTCTGACATTGTCTTCATGGCACTTTATTACAAGGTGATGAAGGTGACAGTCTAGGACTCCTATTATGTTTTGCAGGTTTGAGTGAGGACAACGTCTCTGGCTGGGGTAGTAGAACAGTTATTGTCTAAAAGTTTTCTTTCTTGCTAGCCTGCCTCTTTGACAAGAGAGAAAAGAAAGGCATTTGTTAGGTTTTTGTTTTGATTTGTTTGTCTGTGTCTTTCGGCATTTCTGGGTTGTTGGCTTCATGCTCCAAGTCTGGGAATTTGAGGCATAAAGAAAACCCAAGAAATATACCACTTCATTTTTCCTTGAATCCCGAGTTCCCTAGCTCGTCAGCCTTCTTCTCTCCACCTTTCAGCCTCCTTCTGTTTGTTTTATATATAATGTCCAGGGTTTTTAGTTGTATTTAGTGGGAGGAATAGGGAAAAGTATGTTTATATTTCAGAAGTCCTCACTTTTTAAATGCATATCAAATGGATGACCTTGTGAGCTATAAAGCAAAAACATTTCTCTGTGCTGTTAAACAACTCTTGTTGATCTTAAAATACTGTAAATCCAGCTCTCTTTAATATTATAATACTTTTTACCAACTTAGTCAAGTACTCTTAACTGATGTGATATGGGCCAGGAGTAAATGGTCAAGAAAGAATTCTTGAGATGTTTTTGTTGCAAAAAAATGTCTTGATTAAAGCACCAGGCCCGGACTGGTGGGGAGAAAGAGCCGTACTGGGGTTGTGAGGAGCTATTTAAGTATATTGATAAAGTTTTAAAACAAAGGAAGTTTCTAAAATGATTTTCATATGCTAAAGAAAACTTAGAGGATCCAGGAGGCCCAAGCTATTGTCAAGCTAGGTTGATTTTTGCCTCTAGCAAGGCATTAACACTAAGACAGTTGTGAGCTGGAGGAATTTCTTATTCAGCCTCTCTCAAGTATTTGTCGACCTGCTGCAAGTTGTAAGGAAATTTCATTTTATCTACAATTCTTTTGCCTTTCTTTTGCCACATCATTACATCTGCCCATTTAAAATTGTAAGCCTGAGATCTATTTCACATTTTAAATTGGGATCACTGCCTAATGTTTTAGATTATCTGATATGCCAAACTATGCAAACATTACAAGAACTTTCAATAACAATCATAAACTGGATATTCTTAAACTTCACCTTAAACACAAAGAAGACACTCTGGCAGCAGGGAACTCTTGGTCCATGTCATCAGATGGGACTATTTGTAACCCCATGTCCCCTGTTCAATTCTTTCATAATCATACCTTCTCTTTTGATTAAAAATCTATAGCACATACCAGTGTGCTTCTCCAGCTGATTGGATTCATCGAACTTATTTCATTCCTGATTTCTGAATCTGGCTCCTGGCCACCAAGACAATTCTAATGACTTTCTAAAGATGGAGAATCTCAATCCTGTGGGGTTTCCGAGCATGGGTGTGGTAGTCAGGCTAAAGCTAGATTTGAGTGAGTTCCAACTCTGCACTTAGTAGTTGGGTGTCCTTGGCTAAACCTCAGTTTACTCTTGTACAGTAGGCTAACAATCTCCATCTGAAAGGGCTGCTGTGAGGATTTAATGAGTGCAGTTTAGATGGCAAGCTTTACGTAAATAGTCATCTTCTTTCCCACAAGCATTTACTCAGCAGTCCCTGCTTTGTTGGCTCTAGTTTTTGCTGCTTCTGTGATGAACATGATTGCCTCTTTTACATCTTCCCATGGTTCTGACAGTTCTCTTTCATCTCAATCTGTTGGTTTATCCGCCGTGACATGGAAATCAGGATTTCTTTGATTTCCTTGGGAATGTGAAGCGGTTATTAACTGAAATCTTATTCTCTTTTCTCAAGAGAATCTTCCAATATACTGTTACCCTCTATTCTCTGCTCTGCTCATTTTCCTGCTACGTGCTTTTCCTTTCTTCTTCTTCTTCTGTAGAAATTGTACATATCCTTTGTGCTGCTTTTTGTTCTGTTTACTCACCTCTGGTTAATAGGGCCCATTTTATCCTTACTAATATTGTCCCAAAATAGTGTGGGTAGAAACACTCCTGACTCCCTCCCACATTTATCTAAGCATCCCTTCACTACGTCCACCCATGTGGAGGCCTGCCTGCTGACGCCTTTTTTTTCTGTTTAGTCTCTGAGCCACCTGAAGAAGGTGTGGTAAAAGCGGTTCAGGGGCAGCCTTCCTCTATGAGCTTTATTTCTACCCTCTCTGAATGTGCTGTACATCTGTACTGCAGACCAGCTCTGAAGAGGTGAGGGCATGGCTTGTTTTCTGTGTTTTTGATTTGTCCCTCTGTTTGGGGGAGAGACAACCACTTTGTTGAGAAAGTTGGGCCTTTATTTTCCTGAGTCACCGGGCATATTTCTCCCAGGTCAGATCTGGTCCATAGCTGTGGCTAAGTGGGCTTGCCTCCCATCCGTACCTCCCAGGCAAGGAAGCCTGGTCAGAGAAACAGTGCCATCATGTGGCCACTCAGCATTCTCTCCAGGCCTGCTCTCACTTCACTGAAGCCTCTAAGGCGTGTGGGTGGGGCTGGTGGGGTCAGAAACCCAAAGGGTGTCTTTTGTTGTTCCTGTCACCCTCCCATCCTCTGCTCCCTCAGGGACTGCAAGCTCCTCCAGGATGAGGGCAGAGAATTTGTCAGGCCTTCAGAAGCTCCTCACAACCATGCCCAGAAAAGAGACTCGTGACTTGGCTCCCTTGAGTTCTCCCTGTACTGGGTTTTGTCTTTATTCTAGGTCCTTTTTACTCTTCAAACTACCTAGAAAGATAGTCTTTGTAAATGTGATATAACACCACCATCTTCTTAAGAAATACTCTGGAAAAAAAATGTGAGAAAGCAAAAATGCATCTTAATTTTTCTGTTTTCCTGTTCCCAGGCCTCTTCTCCTAGCCCACCTTTTGAGGTATGCTGTGCCCGTAACCTTTGCCAGTATCCTACTGCAGGGCACATTCAGACTGTCCCATCTCTCTTTTATTCTTCTTAAGATTTATTTTATTCATGAGAGACACACAGAGAGAGGCAGAGACATAAGCAGAGGGAGAAGCAAGCTCCCTGTGGGGACCCGATGCAGAACTTGATCCCAGGACCCCAGGATCATGACCTGAGCCGAAGGCAGACACTCAACCCCAGGGCAGGTGCCTCCAGACTGTCCCATCTCTTAAATGTTGTTAGTTTGGGGCCTTGCTTTGCTCTGAGCTTCTGGATTCAGGACGATCAGCACCTCGTAGGATGCCTGAGGATTTCTACTCTGGTCTTCTAGATATTAATAGCCAGGAGCTGTTTGATGGCAAGAATTTCAAGCCCCCATTAAGGTGGGTGCTGGAGTTACTTGTGGATGTAGCAGAGTAGCATAATTTGATGGCCTGCAGGTGGCTACCTCGCCCAGTTACCCACAAGGCCAGTGCATCTTGTCAGTGACCCCTTGGTGTCAAGCGGGACTTCTTTGCAGATTCCATCAATGAGGGCAGCAGAAGGGCAGTGATGGGCAAGAGGTGCTGAAATATTTGGTGCCCACAAACCTCCTTGCTCCTTATTCCTCTGTTAGGTCCTTCGGGAGGGGTTCATTGGACCAGAAAATCTGGTACCCCATCACCTAGGACATAGGAGCCACTCAAAAGCGCTGAACTTGGTTAATCCTAGGAGATGGGGGAATCCCTGGGTGGCTCAGCGGTTTGGCGCCTGCCTTTGGCCTTTGTCCTAGGGTGTGATCCTGGAGACTCGGGATCGAGTCCCGCGCCGGGCTCCCTGCATGGAGCCTGCTCTCCCTCTGCCTGTATCTCTGCTTCTCTCTATCATGAATAAATAAATAAAATATTAAAAAAAAAATCCTAGGAGATGGTGTGCTCTCAAGCGCGGGGGGGGGGGCCGGGGGGAGGGAATTCCGGAACACGCCCCTCTGCCGTTTCGGCGATGCCTCCCCCGGGCCGCGCGGTGGCGCTGTGGCCCCGCGGAGGCCGGGTGGCGCCGGGGCGCGCCGGGGCGAGCGGGCTTCCGGGGACCCTCCGAGCGGCGGCGGCGGCGGCGGCGGCGGCGGGGCGGCCGCGGTGAGTGCGGTGGACGGCCCGGGGGCGGGGCGCCACCCCCGGGGCTCTCGCTGGGGGCCAGCCCGGAGCAGGCGCCCTCGGCTGCCCCGCGGCTTCCCCGGGGAGGGCGAGGCGGCGCGGGGCTGGCCGTGCAGGCCCGGGAGACGCCCCCCATCCCCCGCCCCCGGAGCCCTGGGCGCATCCCTTCGCCGCCCCGGAGCCTGCTCCTCACTTGCGCGGGGAGGAGGTGGGGGTGGGGGTGGGGGTGGGGGGCCGGGTCTGTGCTCTGATCCCGCCCGCGGGGTCCGTCTGCCCCACAGGCTCTCCCACCCGTCACCCTGGCCCTTCTTTGCTTGGACGGCGTCTTCCTCTCCTCCGCCGAGAATGACTTTGTGCACCGCATCCAGGAGGAGCTGGACCGCTTTCTGCTGCAGAAGCAGCTGTCAAAGTGAGCTGGGCGGGGGGGGGGGGGGCTGCCCGTGCGGGAGGACAGGTTCGTGCCGAGCCCCCTGTGCCCCCTTCCCAAGCGGCTGGTTCCTCCCTGGCTCTGATCCTGGCCTCCGGGTTTAGTGCCCTACTCGCTGGCGTCTCCCAGCCCCATCTTTGCTGTGCGGTTCTGGGCATCACCCAGAGGCTGCAGGGTCCCAGCCCAGGCAGGGGGGAATGGCACAGTACCTGCACCAGGACCTCCGCGTGGTAACCTCTATGCCCGAGTCCTTTGCAGCCGGCCAGGGACGCAGGGGGGCAGAGGGAGCAAACCCGGCATGGACCTGGTGGGGGTCAGGCCCTAGGCCCCTGCTCAGCGCTCATTCCCGTCCCTTCCCAGGGTACTTCTTTTCCCCCCACTCTCCAGTCGTCTCCGGTACCTGATCCACAGGACAGCAGAGAATTTTGATCTTCTGAGCAGCTTCTCTGTTGGGGAGGGCTGGAAGAGAAGGACAGTCATCTGCCACTTGGATATCAGGTGTGTATCTCGGTGCTCTGGGAGCCCTCATACCTCCTTGTGGGTTGGCAGGTGCACTGGTCGGGAACCAGGATGGGCAGCCTCCAGGCTGCTTCCCAGGTCCCCACCGCAGCTGCCTAAAGTCGTCGCCTTCTGTTTCGGCAGTGCAGTCGGTGTGTACTGTATGTGGGACTCGCTCAGCAAACTCAGTTATGTGCTTGGGCGGAAAGACAGAAAGATAGAGCAGGTTAGGCAGTGAGAGTGTTTGCCCCAAGAGCCCATGGAATGTGGGAAGCACACTTGAACCTCACGCATCTCTGTTCCCGTGTGCATCTCATAAGATCTTACAGCGACTATGATCCTGGTGTTTAAAGTTACTTCTTTTTTCTTTTTTTCTTTTTTAAAGATTTTTAAAATTTATTTACTCGTGAGACACACACACACACACACACACACACACACAGAGAGAGAGAGAGAGGCAGAGACACAGGCAGAGGGAGAAGCAGGCTTCATGCAGGGAGGCCGATGAAGGACTCGATCCCAGGTCTCCAGGATCATGCCCTGGGCTGAAGGTGGTGCTAAACTGCTGAGCCACCCGCCCCGGGGTGCCCTTTCTTTCTTTCTTTCTTTCTTTCTTTCTTTCTTTCTTTTTCTTTCTTTCTTTCTTTTCTTTCTTTCCTTTCCTTTCTTTCCTTTTCTTTCTTTCTTTCTTTCTTTCTTTCTTTCTTTCTTTCTTTCTTTTTTTTCTTTCTTTTCTTTCTTTCTTTCTTTCTTTCTAATTAGAGAGAGTAGGGGCAGAGGGAGAGAGAAAAATCTTAAGCAGTCTCCATGCTCAACACAGAGCCTGATGTGGGGCTTGATCCCAAAACCTTGAGGTCATGACCTGAGCAGAAATCAAGATTTGGATGCTTAACCGACTGAGCCACCAGGCGCCCCCAAACTTACATATTTTTCTAGCAAAGTTACCGAAATGCAATTACTTCACTTCGTGTATAACTGAAGATTCAGCTGTCTCTAATTTATGACACCAGAGGGAGAGCTGGTTGCGTTGTGCTTCTTCAGAGTTGGCATTCAGCCTCCTTTATATTGCCTTCCTATTGTATTTTCAGGGGTCATCTTGGCTTTGGTTTTGGCCTAATGGTGACTTGAGAGCCTCATGCCTGAATGGCAGGTAGCTCCAGTAAACCATTGTCCTTGGGGCCCATGCACTGCTCTGATCACACCTCCTGTTCCTGCTCCAGGTCACCCAGTTCAGATGGACTCTCTGGCTCCTGCCACCCTCCTGCCTCTCAGCCTGGCAAGTACCGAGGTCCTCGGCCCACCTCAAACCAAGCACCTGCTGGTCCTCGAGGGGCGAGGGCTGGCCGGGGTCATCGTGGACGCAGACCGGACCAGGCTTTGTATGTGCCCCGAGTACTGCGCCGGCAAGAAGAAGGGGTACCGTGCTCTACCCCAGGGCTCAAAGGAGACGCTCCAGCTGGTGAGCTTCTGGAGGAGCCTGGGAATGTTGGTGCTGGGGACCTCAGCTCTGTTCCGGACCCTCCTGTGTTGATGACTCAGGCACCTGTGGACCCAGAGGGCCCAGACCAACACTGTGACAGTGAGCAGCTGCTGGACCCACTTGGCATTGAGTCCCCACGGCCTGAGAGCCACTCAGGGATGGGAGATGGGTTGGAGATGGCCACACGGCTTGGGTCCAGTCTGCGGCTGGATTTGGAAGAGGAGAGTGGGAATGAGGTGGAGAAGAGCCTGGCGGCAGAGGAGGAAGACGAAGAGTTGGAAGAGGAGGGGCCTGGCAGCTGCTCCAAGGTCGATTACAGTGAGCTGCTACAGGAGGTGATGAGGCTCTTAAGCCCAGAAAAGGGAGGGCGGAAGTGAGGTGGGTGTGCTCCTGGGTGGATGGGGGCACCAAGGGTCCTGGCAAGGAGGGGTGGGGGCTATGCTGGCTAAGCAGGGCTGGGTGTTGGGTGATAGGGGGCCCTTTGGAGACGTAGGGGAGGGGCAGTGGGACTTGCCCGAAGGAGCAGGGACTGACACAGTGGAGGGGACAAGGCTCAGGATGTGGGGTCAAGGGTGTGGATTTGGGTCCCTGTGCAGCCATGCAGGAGCTGTTTGACAAGCTCCTCTCTGGGCAGATCATTTGTTTTTCTGAATTGCTCTTTCCTCATCTGAGAAGCAGATAATAATACATTGTTTCACGAAGTAACAGATGGGGGGTATATGTGGAATTGCTTCCTAAGGACTACAGGCCGCGGTCATGAGAATGATTCTTCTGCCTGAAGTTTTGTGTTACAAATCTCATTTCCTTGGAACTGTGTATCTGCCTCTCAGAGTGGCCAGGGTGTTGGGTTGGGAGGGTGGGCATCTTTTATTACTATGTTGTACGTGAGGAGTAGAGGCCAGATAGACTTGCTCAATATTCCATTGTTAGTAAAGGGAGGAAAGATCCTGGACTTGGCCCAGTTCTGTCTCTTACTATGTATCTTTGGGGGAGTTACTTAGCTCTTTGATTTATAGTGCTCCTCTCTGCAGAGAGGGTGTATGGAGTATGGTTTTCAGGGTTCTGTAAAACATAGTGCATGTAAATGCCAGTTACCCAGTGAGGACTCCATAAAAGTAAGTTACCTTTCCTAAAACTCCTGCCTCTCCACCTTCAAGCCCATCCTGCCATCATGCTGCCTTTCCCAGACTCTTGCCAGGTGTGGCTCCTGTGCAAAGCCATGTGTGGTGCTCTCCTCTCTGCCGTGTGAGCCCTGCTCCTGCCTGCAGGCCTCTGGTTTTGAAGCAGATGTTTGGAGCCCTGTGTGTCAGAGCTCCCCTTGCTAAAGGGTGTGATCTCTCCCAGATAATAGACAACCTGACCAAGAAGGAGATTCAGGTAGAGAAGATCCATGTGGACACGTCCTCCTTCATAGAGGAGCTGCCTGGAGAGAAGGATTTTGCCCATGTGGTGGAGATCTACGACTTTGCGCCCACACTTAAGACTGAGGATCTGCTGGCAGCATTTTCCGAGTTCCAGTGAGTGCTCATGAGGCTTCTGGGAGGCAGGGGAGGTGGGTGCTCGCCCCTGGAGAGGAGCGAGGACATCACTTTGTGGTTGGGGACACCTGCGTGCCCGTCCCACAGTATCAAGCTATCTGGAAAGAAGGGCAGAAAGTGGATGTGGTTGCTCCGGGCTACATATTCCCGCTGGCCACTACTGTACAGAAGAAAAGAGCTGGGTTTTTAGTGGTGGGCATGTGCAGCAGCCCTGGATCTGGTCCTCTGGCACTCAGCAGCCGCTCTCCATCCTGCCCCCTGCGTACCCACATGTCCGCCAGGAGCCAGGCCCCCTGCCGGGATGCATGACCCAGGGAGCCCACTGCCTCCCCCCTTGCTCTGTGTCCTGGCCACCCAGTCAGTCAGTCAGTCTACAGACTGAGACCTCTTTCTGTGCAAGAACTGTTTGTGCAGTGAGCTGGAGCAGAGTCAGTGTGGAGATGGGCACCAGGAGAGTATGTTGCAAGCAAAGACTTCTGCTTCCCCAAATTTCTTGGATCTAACTCCAGTCTTTTCTCTGATTTTCTCTCTTTTTTTCTTTTCTTTCTGTTTTTCTTTTTTCTCTCATGCTCATTTTCCTTTCTCCAGCTTCCTTTCTCTTTTCCTGTTTAGTCTCTGTCTCTCTCTCTCTTTTTTTTTTTTTTTTTTTTTAAGTTTTAAGTCTGCATCCAACATGGGGCTCAAACCCACAACCCTGAAAGCAAGATCACATGCTCCACTGGCAGACAGCCAGGTGCCCCTCCTGCTTACTCTTTTAAAAATCCCTTTCTCGGGGTGTCTGCATGGTGTAGTTGATTAGGTGCCTGACCCTTGGTTTCAGTACAAGTCATGATCTCTGAGTGTTGAGATCAAGCCCCCCGAGTCAGGCTCTGCACTCAGTGTGGGGTCTGCTTGGGACTCTGTCTCCCTCTCCCTCTGCCCCTCCCCGCTACTCACTCGTTCTCAAATAAGTAAAATAAAAATCCTTGGGGGGGAAAACTAGAAATCCTTTTTTTCATGGCCTCGTTTTCTGACTGCTTCCCAAACTGCCCTCCCTTGCCTCTCTGAGCCTGAGGAAGGCTGAAGGGGCAGCTTGGTGCAGCACACTCATCTGCTCTCACTCCCTAAAGGCATGGCCAAAGTGGGGCACCTGTGACTTCTTCAGCCGGCGTGAGCAGTGCCCATAGAGAAACTGCTTCTGGCCTCTTATCAGCCCCAGACTCAGTGTGGCTTTCTTGAGCAGTAGAAGAAAGCTGATCAGAAGCAGTAGCACTGACCTCCTTATTTTAGGTTCTGCTCCCCTATCCCCAGTACATAAACCCTTTTATAGCCACCTTGGATGCCCTTGTCCTCACTGTGGTGGTAGCTGTGTGCATTCTCCTTCACACTTGGCACCATGTTCTTCGAGCTTTTTTGAGTCCTGTCTTCCTCAGTTCTAGGAATCTGGTACCCACCCGATTAACAGGGGTGATACTTGCCTTTCTGAAGCTAACCGTCTTTGAGAAAGTTTGCTGCAAGGGGCTGTCTCCTTCCCAGGGGAGATAGGAGCTTGTCTTGGGCTCATAGTGTTGGAGGATTGAAGGTGGGAGGGGACTCCTTTCGCAGAAAGGGTTTCACCCCTTGCTATTTTACTCACTCTGTCTCCTCTTCTCTGGCACAGAGAGAAGGGTCTCAAGATTCAATGGGTTGATGACACACACGCGCTCGGTGTCTTTCCCTGCCTGGCCTCAGGTATGCAGCTCACGGTGGGCTCGACCCTTTCTCTGACTGCCATTGACAAGGGAAGGATCACCCGTGTCTAGGGTGCAGGCTCACCTGTGCAGGTGGACTGGTAGCCACGCCCAGCCTGCCCAGTCCAGAAATCAGAGGCAGCAGAGTGGGCGCTGGCCAGGCCAGCTCACACTCTTTCCTGTTCAGGTCAGAGGTTTCAGATTCGGGTGATGTTTACTGAGCACATGTCACAGGCTGAGCTCTGGGTGCTTCCACGTGTTAAATGAAATCATATGAATGTGCTCTTTTTATAGGTAAAAAGCCTTTATTTATTTTTTTTTTTAAATTTTTTTTTTATTTATTTATGATAGTCACACACACACACAGAGAGAGAGAGAGAGAGAGAGAGAGAGAGTGAGAGGCAGAGACACAGGCAGAGGGAGAAGCAGGCTCCATGCCAGGAGCCTGACGTGGGACTCGATCCGGGTCTCCAGGATCGCGCCCTGGGCCAAAGGCAGGCGCCAAACCGCTGCGCCACCCAGGGATCCCGGTAAAAAGCCTTTAAATACTGGCAATTTCATATTTTTTTTTTAAAAAAAGATGCGTTTTTACTCAGCTTTCATAGCAGCCTCAGGAAGTAGGTCAGATAACTTCTATTTTACAGGTGGGGAGACTGAGGTTCCAAGAATGTAAGTGGTCTGTTCAAGGTGACGGAGCGTCTCAGTATCGAGTCTGGGGATGTCAGCCAGGCCGCTGGCAGTAACTGCAGTGCACCTTCCCCCTCTCGGCCACTTTCCCAAGCCTCCCTGCCTCCCCCTGCTGCTCACTTTGGGTGTGTTTTTCAAGACCCCTGACCCCTTTAGCTGGGCTTTTCACAATCACAAGCTTCTGAACACCAGAGCAGGGAGAGGCTGTAGCTGTTGTGAGCCCAGTTCTCAGGAGAGCCCGAGGTGTTGAGGGAGCAGGACTGGGGCCTGGGGGCTGCTGCTGCCCCAAAGAAGTAACTGACTGTGGGCGGGCAGGGTGATGACCACAGAGTGCATCGAAACAGTGAGCACTGGGTGCGGCGTGGCCACGGCTGCCTCCTGGGCGCTCCCAAGCGATGTGTGAGGAACAGGTCCCGTCCGGCCTCAGCTTCCTTGTGTGTAAAGGGGTGACTTGCACCTGCCTCTCTGGCGTGCCATGTCTGACGTGCTGTAGCCCAAGTATTCTGTGGGCAGAGCGCAGCACGACTCTGGGCAGTGAGGGCATCCACCGGGAGGGTCTTGAGTAGGGGAAGGGATAGAGTTTATCTGGAGCTCCTGGGCTTTTGAAGGTGGCAGCCTGCTTTCACTGACACAGCCTCGCTGCTATGGCTCCTGACGGGCCCAGGGTGGAGTACGGACGCCAGGCTCTGCACAGGCTTCTCATCTGAGAGCACAGGGGCCCTGTGCAGCTTGCGGGGGCTCTGGGGGCAGGTGAGGCCAACTGATGGCAGTGTTGTCAGGGCAGCCATGTCCCTGAGCTTTAAATGGGTACAAAAAGGGGATCTATCAGTTTGGGGTGATACATGCATTCCTTGGCCCTGACAGGGCGCTTCACCAGGAGAGAAAGGGATGGCTCCAGATCTGTTTTCTTTCCGTAGCTGCTGAAGCCCTGACCAAGGAGTTTCCTATGCTCAAGATCCGGCCCCTCACGCAAGGAACCAAGCAGTCAAAGCTGAAAGCCTTGCAGAGGCCAAGTAAGGAAGCCACTTGTGTCCTGATGGGAAGGCTGTGAGTGGGCAAGTGTTTGGTTGGGCAGGGTGGGGCCTTCCCTCCAATTCATTCCTTGTCCTTCAGCTCTCTGTCTTAGGCCCACTGGGCACACCCCAGGAGCCGGGGGTGCCCAGGAAGAGGGGCCCCCTCAGGGAGAGCTGTTAGCCAGCTGCTCTGTTCTGGGCTTGCCCTCCTGTGCTTCCCTCTTCTGGCTGTTGCTCAGGAAAAAGCGTGGTCTTTCCTGTACGACCATGGAAACCATATTTTACAGTGGGGCAAGAAGAGCTTGGATCTTGGGGTCAGCCCTCATTGTGAGCCTGCTTCTGTCACTTATTTAAGTTCACCTTGAGGAAAAGGTCTGTCAGCCAGTTCCTTTCTCCGTAAAATAAACAGATTGTACAGGGTAAACTGGAGAGGTGACTAAAACAGCCCGGCAGACCTGCCTGGAGCAATGGGGGGGGGGGCATGTAGAAGATGCCAGATAAATGAGAGCTCCTCCTTTTTCCTCTTCTCCCTCCTGAAAGCACGATGAGGGATTTTAGAGGCCAGTTTCTGTGGCTGTAAAGTGGCTGGCAAGACTGGCCCAGTAGAGGCCCGCTGTGGCCATCCACTGCTCCTGTGGCCCATGTAGCCTTTGCCCGGGCTTGAGGACAGTATCTGGTCAGTCCAGAAGCTCCAGGTGTCCCATCTTGACTTGATTTTCTCCCAGGTGGCCCAGACAGGGAAGATGCAGAGGTGGCAGGATTAAGCGAGGACCCCACGGGCATGTGGCCATGCTGTGGGCACAGCTGGGCCTTAGAGGTTGGCTCAGATGGCCTCTAGGCTGCTGTCGCCGGGAAGAGTGGTGGCCATAGCCTTGAACTCAGGTCCTCATCCATGGGGCTTTCTTTTAGAGCTCCTGCGTCTGGCGAAGGTGAGACCGCAGACCAATACAGCGGTGGCCAGGAGGCTGGTGGCCCGGGCCCTGGGGCTCCAACACAAGAAGAAAGAGCGACCTGCAGTTGAGTCTCCTACCTCCCTGAGGCCCTGAGGGGCCCAGCAAGCCTGGATTGGCACCCCCAAGGACTAGACTGGTGCCCCAACACCACTAGCCTTTCCTGACACTAGAATAGCCCTGTACTGTTTGTTAGGGTGTCCCTGTGGGCCGTGGTGGGCTTTAGTTTGATCTAGTTCCAGAAGTTGAGAAAAAATAAAAATTTGAAAGTTGGTTCAAAATGAGATGGTCTTCCAGGGAACACTAGGGGGTGCTGTTGGTTTCCCATTTTAGACCTGGGGCTGCTGAAGAAAGGGGGGTCTAGATTGGCCTGGAGGATCCCAGCAGGGCCTCAAAGGCATTTTTGCCCAGTGTTTACCCAGTTGGGGCGGGGGCGGGGGGATTGCACCTGTTGTGTGACACCTGCTCAGTCTCCTCTAACAAGTCGGGCATCCTAACCCGTTGCCATGTGCCCAGTGCGGACGGCACCGACCCTTTGAACTGGTCCTAGCCTTCCTTGCTGGTGTGGGTCACAGAGGGCTTGTTGCACAGTTCTGTAACCATGAACAAAGCCATAGAGGCAAAACCTGAAGGGGCCGCTGAATTTGGCCCCCACACAGGACAAGGGCATCTGTGGGGACAGGGTCTAGGTCACTCCTGTTTGTGGTGTGGGAGGAACTGGTGCCAAGCCAGCCCTCTCTGGTGCTCTGGATCCTTCCAGTTTGCTGAGCGGCAGTATGCTCTTGATACGAGCGGGAGCTCCTGTGCCCGGGTAGAGTGGCTAGCCCTGGCTGCCTACCCTGACCGCGCTGGGAAGATCTGCCCCTGCGCTGCCTGGTTCGGGCACCAGCCTCGTGGGACCCTCCTAAGATGGGTTAAATCTAGATGCCTCCGCACAGCTGCCGTGCCCCCCCCCCCAACAAACTCACTAAAAACAAGAGTTCAAGAAAGGTCAGGACTTGAATTTTTGTGATCTTAGACCGTTGCTGCCAGAGGGCAGGAGTTGGGGCTTTGTGGTGGGTCCTGAAGGTGGCCCGGGACCCCTCTCTGTGGCCGGAAGCTGAGAGTGGATGCCAAGGCTCCCTCCCCGCCAACCGTCCCTGGGAGCTCTGCTGCTCAGGGTTGGAGGGGCCAAGGCCCAAATGAATGACAGATGCGTATCATAAACCTTTTATTTAAAGTTTCAAGTATGTGTAAGTGTCTGTGATGACACATGGCGCTCAGTGGGTGTCCTCATCACCCAGGACCCAGGTTTATAGCACCGTTACATCAGTTACCCACAGAATTGGAACAACAGAAAGATGAGTCACTTACACAGGTGGGTTGGTTTTTCTTCTGAGCTATACTTTCAAAGGCCCAGATGCCCAATATTAAATGCCACTAAGTTATTTTGTGTTTCAAAGTCTGTGAAAATATAATAATGGTATCTTGTAAGAGAATTTCGGAGTGGGGGTGGGGGAAGAAGCACCAACTCTGAGCTCGCTCACCTAATTAGGGAACATGTGGCAGCATTATTTGTATATGTGAATATAACAGAGGAGAGGCAGTCTTTAGTTGGAAGAAGGGTCTAGATATTCAGGTTGGCTGGAAATGACCGAAGAGGAGGAAGATGGAATTCAGCCCAAACCCCTTGGGTAGACAGCTCACAACACCGATGGGGCCCCGTGTTACCTGGCGTGAGCTGGGTTGGGGGGTGTCCTACAAGGGGCAGACTGCGGGGTAGGTGGGACAGGCCGCTGCTAACCCGTGCTCCTGGGGTCCCAGGCTGGATGGCTCTTGGTGGCCACAACTCCTGGTAGTCGTCCCAGGCTCCCGAGGTCAGGCGGCAGCCCCCAGCAAGTGACAGGCACACGCCTTCCTCCTGAGCCTTGGATGAGGCTGCAGGGGGTCGAGACGGCAGGCACGGGGCTGGACGAGGAGAGAGTGTGGCCCTCGGACTGCAGCTGTTGGGGAAGGTGCGCCGGGGCCCCCAGACGGGCGGTGGTGACCTGGTGCTTTACCGTGCAGAGAGCTGGTTATTTATGAGTCCACTGAAGTGTTCAAACTTTTTTTCCGTCTCTTCACTGAAGGAACCGCCTGCAGGGTGGGCATTGGGGAGACAGAGTTTGGCAAACCAGAGGTGCTGCCTGGCCCCACACTGGAGCTGTTGGCCTGGGGGGAAGGGGAGGCCCTGGAGCCACTGCCCTCCACCAGGTTGCCTGCTGGGGCCACCTCTCTGTGACGCCACCAGGGCAGCGGCAATGGCAACCAGGTGCCGGCCGTCCCTAGGGCCAGGCACAGGTCAGGGCCTCCGCCCAGGCTGAGCGAAGGAGTAACTCAATGAGCTTAGCTTTCGCCACCACGAGAGCAGGGCCAGCGCTTTTCTTACGGAAGAGGAAGCTCTGCTTCCCCTTTGGTTCCCCCTGTGTGTATAATGCAAGGAAAAGTTTCTCTATTGGCGACCAGAAGCCACAGTGGTTGACTAGCCTCTAGTTCTCAACAGAGGAAAACGATACACAGAACCCACAAATTGCTGACGCCCACATATTTGAGGTCACGTGCGTAATGAGGAGATGGCCTCAGCGCCAGCTGGGGTCTGTGCCGCCCTCCTTCCTTGGCCAGAGCTGGCTGCGAAAACCCAGCCTCCGTCCAGGCCTTGTGTGTCTACAGCTTCCTTCCTGTGCGTGGAAATGGGAGGCTGGCTCCATTCCCCACGCTCTTTGCCCAAATTAGGAAGCTGCTCGGATTCCTCGACAAAGCAGGGCAGTCCTTGCCGGGCTCCCGGAGGGCGGGCTGCGGGGTGCAGGGCGTGCTGTGCTCCCCCACAGGTGCCCAGGGCGCTTACCTATGTGGCAGTTGTACATCCAGATGCGGTGGCCGTCGTAGCGGGTCCTGCACTTCATGATGTTGTTGGTGTAGTCCGACTCTGCTACCTCGTAGTTGGGGTTGATGACGACCTGGGGGCGAGGCACACCAGAGTGGGCTGCTGAGTCCCGCCTCGGCCACCCTTCACCCCGGGCCCAGACCCTGCCGAGACCAGGCCTGCCTCTAGAGCCAGGGTGACCTCATGGAAGGGAGCGGCCCCGGGCAGGATCAGCCAGTGATGAGGGGGCAAGGCCCGGATGAGGCAGGGTGTGCGCCCCTGGCTGCCTGCTTGTGTGTGACTCTTACACCTACTCCCTCCCACAAGTAGGCCTTCACAAAGGGGTTACCGTCTCCTGGGTGCCCAGGAGGCTTGAGGTTAGTAGAGGCAGGAATTGGGGCGCACAGAATAGGCTGTTGATAGGGGAGTGGGATGTGCTGAGATGGGGTGGGGACAAGGACCCATATGCTCCTGGTGGTGTGACTTCACACAAGTCCCTGCCTCTGAGCCTCCGCCTTGGGCCCCTCTGTCCAGAAAGCCACATCCTCCTCGTCCGACTCCCTCCCACCCTCCCTCCAAGCATTACTGATGTCCGTATTTAGGTCTGTGTGGGAATGGAGAGGGTCCATGAATCCCAGGCCCGGAATCTAATGCTCATTGTCTGTCCGAAGGGAAATTCTTTTCCATGAATCTGACCCACTAACATGCTCCTACTGAGTTAATTTGCTAATTGTGTAGTTCAGGGGTCAAGAACACAAATGTGATCTGGGTTTGCCTGGCTGTAAAACGAGAGTAGTAGTAAAGCCCTTTATTGGAGGATTACATGTCTATTGGAGTTCACAGGGTCTAGGCATAGCCAGGCCTGGCCTCAGTCCTCAGTGAGCGTCCTTATTAAATAGATGGCACTTGTCAGATTACATGATGATACACATTCACCTGGCAAAGCGATAGCAAACCTCAAACATCTACCCCCCCTCCCCGCACAGTGTACGTGCACAGAGACATGGATGTTCGTTTTTAATATAAAGAGCACTCTGCTCTTTGGTTGGGACTCTCCAAGTCTGCGGTTTTGGGTTTGTGGGTGGAAAAGTGCTTGGCTGTCTGATTTCCAGTCTCTGAAATTGCCCAGGAAGACTTTCAAAGCCCTTCTGTGGTCACCTCTGTGCAGGTGTTGATTCTTCCCAGGGCCGCCTACAGGGTGGGGACCACAGGCAGTCAGCCAGGCTCAAGGCTGGCTCAATGTCCCCTTGGGAAAGTTTTCAAGGAAAATGACACATTTCTGGTCACCCACTTGGCCACCCAGCGGGGCCAGCTCGAAAGCAAGACGGGTGGCTGTGTAGGAACGTGACAAGGCACAGGGGGGCTCCGCAGGCCAGGGCGCACCTGTGTTCCAGACACGGTGAGGTTGGGAACGCAGTGCCCCTGCTTCCATGCCAGTCAGGGCCCTGGCTGCAGCAAGCCGCTCGTCTGCAGGGAGGCAGACAGTTGTCCCCTCTGCAGACCCTTTATGAAGGCAACTTTCCTGGGAGATGCAAGTCACAAACCCTTGCTAGCGAATGGCTCTTTATGAGATTGCCTCAGCCTCGCCAGCGCGGACAAGGCAGGGTGAGGGTGCTGGGAGAGGTGGGGTGGAGGGCAGAGTCTGTGTCAAAGGACAGCACAGGCATGGGGTGTCTGTGAGTCCGTGGGACAAACTCTTGACCTGAGGACCAGGTTTGGCTGCACATGTATTTTGATTTCCAAGTGCCAGGTGTTAACTGCATGTGGATGTCTCGGGCGGTTGGCAGTTCCCCACAGGCATGCATGCCTCACATACTTAGGTCACCTGGTGGATTGTGATGTGCTGGCCCCCGAGTGTAGGACTCCTGCACTTTGGACAGCCTCTTGCACATGTTTTGTATTTGGACCCCAGCAGGAAGGGGGCTGCCTCCCCCATCACCAAAGTCCCCTCCCCCCATCAGCAGGGGCTGGAACCCCCTCCTACACCCCTCACCTGGAACAGGTAGTCTCCAGGGGGTACGTCAGTGATGTCGACCCACTGGCAGTCGATGTCATGGCGATACATGTCCCAGCAGCCCATGGTGATGCCCTGCTCACCGAAGTTGGCACACTCATAACTCTTCTGGATGTCTACAGGCAGGGGCGGAGAGGAGCCCAGTCATCATGCATCCTGGCTGCACTGCCTGAAGTACCTGTCCTCTGTGCCACCCTTCCCCCCAAAGTGCCCCAAGAGCCCTGCTGGGTGGGGGATATTCCCAGAGCCCACTCAGCAAATCTCTTCCTTCCCCCAAGCCCTCAAATCTCTGCTTCATCTGGGCTAGGCATCCCATCCCCACAGCAGGGGTTTCCAATCCATTCTCATGTCACTGGAAACCCTTTGATTCTCTCCCCACATCTCATCCATCCTTTTA